GTATTACTAAAGTTAATATAATTGGGTCAACAATTTTTCCCTTTTATTTTGTGAATGACAATCTTAATATACTTAAAAAAAAAAAAATCAGGTATAGTTTATAAAGACAAACATTCAACTTAAAATATACTGTAAAATCATTATTTAATTCATGCATAATCACAAACGAAGTAGAAATACAAAAATAAACAACACAAAATTTTACGTAGTTTGACAAGGTACCTACATCAACGGGTAAAATCAGCAAAAAAATATTTCACTATGATCGAAAGATAGTACATCACACATCGGTTAACAAACTTATATATAGAGAGATTTATATAATTTTAAATATATATAAAAATTAATTTATAGAATAATTATAAAAATACTCTCATAATTAAAATTATCATAACGTAAGCACGTCAACAAAATAAAATGACAATCTTAATATACATAAAAATAAAAAAGAAATCAGGTATAACTTACAAAGAAAAACATTCAACTTAAAATATAATGTGAAATCATTCTCTACATCATGCACAATCACAAACGAAGTAAAAATACAAAAAAAAAAACAACACAAAATTTTACGTGGTTCGGCAGGGTGCATACATCAATTGGTAAAATTAGCAAAAAAATATTTCACTATGATAAAAAAAGAATGTATCTTGCATACGTTAGTAAACTTATATATGGGGAGACTTCTAATATTTTTTACGTCATCCGAATACACAAAATTAATTAATAGAATAACTACAATAATACTCTCATGATTAAAATCATCAGAACATAAGCACGTCAACAAAATATAATGACAATCTTAATATACTTAAAAATAAAAAAGAAATCAGATATAGCTTAAAAAAAAAAACATTCAACTTAAAATATACCGTGAAATGATTATCTAATTCATGCACAATCACAAACGAAGTAAAAATATAAAAATAAATAACACAAAATTTAACGTGGTTTGGCAAGGTGTCTACATCAACGGGTAAAATCAGCAAAAAAATATTTCTCTATGATCAAAAGAGAGTGCATTACGCATACGTTAGCAAACCTATATATAGAGAGACTTCTAAGATTTTTTATGTCCCCCGAATACACATCACATTAATTAATAGAATAATTATAAAAATACTCTCATGATTAAAATCGCACGTCAACAAAATATAATGACAATCTTAATATACTTAAAAATAAAAAAAAATTAGGTATAGCTTATAAAGAAAAACATTCAACTTAAAATATACTGCGAAATCATTATTTAAATCATGCACAGTCACTAAACAAAGTACAAATACAAAAATAAACAACATAAAATTTTACGTAGTTCGGCAAGGTGTCTACATCAACGGGTAAAATCAGCAAAAAAATATTTCACAATGATTAAAAGATAGTACATCACGCATACATTAACAAACTTATATATAGGAAGACTTCTAAATTTTGTTACGTCATCCGAATACACATAAAATTAATTAATAGAATACTTATAAAAATATTCTCGTGATTAAAATCATCAGAAATTTAAGCACGGCAACAAAATATAATGTAATGGGTAAATTAAAGTGAGAGCTTTAGGGTTTATTGATCGTCAAGCTCTAAGGGTTCGAAATATTTCCTGTCCAAAAGATACGTGCCAATGCTTAACCTCACAGCCCATACATCCTTGGGCTTTCTTGATAAAACTCTGCAACAAATAATTAATATTGATATAATATTATATTTACATATAAAAACATTTTGCAACGCACTCAAATTTAACTAAAAAAAAATTCCGTAAATGAAAAAAATTAATCTATGTAAATTAGAATAATACTTTATAAATTATGTTAAACACGAATGTATAAATTTAATCTTTTTTAAAATTTGATTTTTATTCAAAAAGATAATTAGTACGAAGAGTTTTCTCTGTTAATTAGGATTAGACTTGAAGAAAAGTAGAAGACGAAGAAAAAAAGATTTACCTTCCCACATCGCCGGGATTGACTAAGCCAGAATTATGTCTGAGGCAAGGTACAGACGCCGCCGTTTTGATCATCTTGGGGGCTTCAACGACGATGACAGGAGACCCTATTTTCAGGGGTGAAGTTGACGGTGATGGTGATGGCGATGGTGATGATGATGATCTTACCAATGCATTTGGAGTCCGAACTATGGAGTTTAGGATATTCATGTTCAATATTCTGGAGTTTTGGATATCGTTATATACATATATATATATATATATATATGGGTGGTGGTTATCAGGCACATACATATATATTATCAGGCAGATAAATCTTGCTTCCACAACAGCCACATCTTAAAAGCAACATAATTTTTTTTTTATCTTCAAAGCCATACCTATATACCCACACATACATATATATATATATATATATATATGGATGGTGGACATTTGATCTTATATCTACGACCATTTGAAATTCACATAATATTTTTGAAGTTTTATTTTCAAATTCGTAATTTTTTCCAAAGATGAGAACTTCAAAACATGCAATATTATTCATTACTTGAGATATTATAACAAAAAATAAATGTATTCCCACAAAAACCCTCTAAATTGGAGTCGGGTTTTCCTTTCGCACTATTACGGATATGAAATAAAAATAATAGAAAGAATTGGATTCAATCGTCAACTGTTCCTAGCGAAAATAAGATTCGCTACGGATTCGAGCCATAGCACATGGTTTCATAAAACCGTGCGATTCTCCCGATCTCGCAGAATATAATTATTCTCTCCTAGGGATATTACTGGTTCAGAAATATTATACTATCTTGTAAAAATACTAACATTTCTCTAGAATGCTTTAAAAGGATTTCTGTGGCTCATCAGATTTTCTTCCTTCAAAAAATGTTTCAAGCCCCATAAACATACAACCGGGATTGATGAAAACTAGATTAACAAGGCAAAGAAAAAAGCTTACAACTGTGGGGGTTTTATACTAAGGAGCAGGGAGGAACCGGATGCGATAAACGACAAAAACCTTTACAAAACTATACAAAATTTTATGAGGCTGGAAGGCAATGTGTTCATGTGAAGTCGACCGAGGATAATTCTGCTTCTCCCTGCTTGGCAGTTTTGGCCGTTTTTTCAGTGTCTGTGTTGTGCTGTTATCTTTTTGAGTATGTAAGATATGGATCTTGTGCAATGGTTAAAACATCTGGCCTCTCTGCTTGGTTGTATGTTAGACATCGCCGAATCAGATCCTACAAATGATAAATGATGTATGAAACAATAGAAAGTTGTCAAAAAGCTCGCAGGAGTTCATCTCAATTGTTCGTTAGCAATCAATGATTCAGTTGGATCAAATTTTAAGGGAGTAAAACTGCAGAAGTCTCAGCCAAAATCTGGGAACTGAACAATTTCAGACACAGGGTAACTGTGATGCCGGCCAAACTTGGAAGAAAAAGCTTGAGGTATTCTTTCTTTTCCAAGTACCAGAAAGGATATACCTCAACAAGAAAAAGTAAATGTCAAGATTCCAGAGCTAACATCTTCTAAAATGTTGTTGAAATGGAGATGGAAACTGAAATAAGCATAACCGACAACTACCAAACAAAGACGAAGAACCTCACCTTTGCTTCATTTGAAACACTAGGCCTAGAAGGAAACTCAACTTTGCGTGCCTTGATAATTGTGTCCTCACGCAGTATTCGTTCCTGGGTTTGGTCATGTCCAAAGGGACGCCTTCCAAAGAGCATCTGGTAAAAGAGGACACCAGCTGACCAGACATCAACCTGTTCACCAAAATTAGAACATCACACAGGAAAAAATCAACAAGAAGCCATTGTTGACAGAAACCGATGGAGCCCTTAGTTCTTCTGAATAAGGGAGAAGACCTAATTGTTTTGAAATTCCAATAGGGGGATTTAGGAGTCAAACAGAAAAATTCCTTTAAAGAAAGTGGGGATGAGTAGGAAAGAGGAGTCACTAACCTTGGAGGAAATTAGAGGGGTTTTATTGAGCTCAAAGCATTCAGGAGGCAAGTACCTGAAATTAAAAGAGAAATTCAATAACTTAAGCTGGCCTTTGTTTGTGCATATGAAGATATGTAACAAAGCTAAAGAAAGTAAAATGACAGCAAAAATGACTTACAAGATTAAGCCTATGGTTAGGAAAAAATAAACTATTTTTATAAAATTCACTAGTCGGAGATAATTTATTTCAAAAAAAAAAAGTTGGAGATAATAAAAATTCTACCAAAAGATGATAAAAATTGACCTTGCAGAAATTTCAAGTTAAATGAAGTGTAGATTTCAGAATAAATTCCACAAACAGAGTCGATTATTCCCAATCGTGGCCTAAGTTACTCATTTCTTAAACCCAACAAACTACAAAAGTTTGCAAAGTACCCAGGATAAACAACACCTCAACTTGAGAGGCTGGTTAATCAGCATGCTCATCATTTCCAGATAGACTTAAACATAATTTAATCCACAAGAAGAAAATTAAAAGCAGAACTGTGTCACTCACCAATATGTTCCAGCTCCTTGAGAAGTAAGTTCCATACCCTGAGATCCAACATCATCCTCCATTATCTTGCTAAGACCAAAATCAGTCACTTTTGCAACACCAAGCTCATCAAACAGAACATTCCCAGGCTTCAAATCATAGTGTATAATTTTCTGAGCTCTTTTGTTTAAATATACAAGGCCTTGAAATATCTGAACAATAATGATCTTTGCTTCCTTTTCGGGTAGTACAGGTGTTGCCTTCAGAACAGCATCAAGGTCCCTCCCTGATAACAAAAATTTTGGACACATGGTTAAAGGATGAAATAAATATTGAGAACATATTTTTTTTAAAAATAATCTCCAAGTATTTACAGTAGGAGAAGTATCAAGTTAAAGAATTGTAGGGGAAGTTTGTAATATACCACTACAATACTCCAAAACAGTGCAGAATGTATTTTGGTCAATCTCAAAAATGTCCCAAAGCCGAACAATATGATGATGCACCAGGGTTTTGTGGATGTTATACTCCCGAATTGCATGTCGAATGTAACTTTGTTTCTTTTCTTCACTCCATTGAGCATTCAGACCATGAAGCTTACATGCAACGTATCTATGCTCTACCAAGTCATATGCCTGCTGGAAATTTCTTACTTCAAATCACTGCAAAAAGATATATTTTTACAATTGCCAACAATGGCAAAAAATAGTCTAGACTTTTATCACAGCAGACAGCCTGTTCAAAAACAGCGGAAAAATATCATCATCTCATTTGATTATAGTCCCCAAAGTTCTGACCTTGTAAACCTCACTAAATCCTCCTTTGCCAAGAAGATTCAAAAGGGAGTATCGGCTATTCAAAATGGGAAAGTTGTTAAAACGAGAACCATCCTCATCTCGTATCCGTTTCATCTCACGTATAAGCCTTCCCTTCTCCAGTTCATAGCGATCTCTCTCACGCAGTATAACTTCTTCTTCCTATAGAAAAGTCACAACTCAATGACAAAGAATGTAAAGCATATACCTCTTACACTCCTTAATGGTTAGAAAACTGGAAGCTATAGAGACAGAAATCAAATATAAGAGGAACCCTTACACGTTTTAGGCTGGCAAGACGAGATTTATATATTTCATCCTGGATCAGAAGATCTTCTTCATGAACTCCCGATTCTGTATCAGCTCCGTCACCCTTATCTTCAAGCAATATAATTAAGATAAATTCTCCCAGAACAGCAAAAAGATTACAGAAAAAATACTATTAGGAAAAGTGAAATTTCTCTTGGATCAGCTTCAGGTGAAACAACACTATGCTCAAAAGGATGAGTCAACTTCGCACGCCTCTTCAGTTTTCTCTTTGTGGCGGTTGGTGAGGGGGAAGGCTAGAGTGAAGAACATTGTGAGAGATCCAAAATACTACTTGTCATGAACAATAAAGGGCACATGAGGAACCTCTACCAAACTTCCAAAATGCAATTTGTCATGCCCAGTGGATCCCCACTTTCTCTGGCCTCTTGAATTTTAAACTAATTGACTGAGAAAGTAAGGAGGCAATAGAAGCAGTTAGTACCATCTCCCGGGCTTGAAGACAGTTTGGTATCTCTGATGATATGACAAACATTGCCACCCAAAAAACCTAACACTCATAGCAGATTTATACTAAATCTTTGGGTAATTATATTCATGGTTTCAGAGTATCAAACAGAGTCGACAGACATCAGGATGGATATATTCCTGGTATATAGTTTGAAACAAATAGTACAGCGAATACAGAAATACAGTGCAGAAAAAAGAATTTACCAGATTGTCGTTTTTTCAGTGATTTCCGTTGCCGCTCAACTGCCTCCTTAGTTTCTAGCAACTGTTTCTGATTATTAAAAGGGGAAGAAATTATGAAACATGGCAATATTAGTTTTAACTCAGAATTCTTTATGCTTTCCATAAATGCCATTACTCATGTGTGTGCATGTGCTGGAGACTACCATTTACTTATGCTCCTAAAAAACCTTTTCCTTTCCTCTTCTTTTTCCTTCTTTTTTTTTTTTGAGAAGATGCCCATAAAGAAACTAAAACTTACAAGATAAGCATTTAGATCTTTCAACACTTGTCCATCTTCCCATGTCTCAGATATAATGGTTCCCGCTCTGCAATGAATAAGAGTATCATCAATCATGAGCAACTAAGAGATAGAGCATCAAGAGGTACAAGACCGCAAAAGAATCTAACATAAAATTTATTGCAGTTAGGTTAGTATCTTGAGATAATGTCCTTATGCTGCACAAGGATATAGGAAAGCCAAAAAGTCATACTTCTCAAGAAATGACAGTATAAGGATTCCAGAAATTACAACACATACCTGATCACACCAACATTACCAAGTCTCAGTGAATCCTGCCGTATTTTCATCCTGGCTTCCTGCCTCTCAGCTTTCGAAACGGACATGAGTAGATCAGAGATTGTTTTTGATCTCTGCATCAGAGATAGAAAGTTTAATAGATTCAGAGGAAGTGCCGGTAGCACACACTATCCTCTTTCCCTAACTAAAGAAAGTTTAAATGTCAGACAAGTATGAGAATTTTGGTGCTCTATAAACAAATTTCCTATTAGAAAAAGAAACCCATGTTAAAGAATAGAGTGCAAAAATAAGAAATCCAAGAAAGGCAGCAAGCACTACATTCATGTGTAGAATTGGAAGACATTTTCTTATAACACAGAATCGCAAGATTCCATCCTTGACAAAACAATGAGAGAATCACTTGATAAATGCAGGAATATGAAGATCTTGAGGGATTAATTACTTGTCCTTGGTGATAAGTCCCAGCATTTACTAACTTGGAAAGGAACAAAAACAAGTTTATATCAGCAAAACTGAATTCACATTTTTCTAGCAAAGGAAGTAACAGTCACAAGATAATGTTTTTTTTGTCGTTAAGTAAGTTGGCCAAAATGATCCTTCTGTAAACTTTCTACCTCCCTTTCAAATGATCTTTGTAAGAACTCAACAATAAACTAAAAAAAACAGATAATTGATCCATGCAGAGAGATAGAGAGATTTGAAACATCACAACCACGGTAAGGAGCAAAAGACCTCAAATGAGTTCAAACTGTGACTGGTGACATTTATTCAAAACTTGTTACACGCACTACCAGAAAAAACTGAAGCAGCAAAAAACCCAAAAGGATATATTATTAAGCTACAGTAGTCAATATAACTGAGAAAAATTAAAACTAAACCAACATGCCCAATTGCCATAAGGATGCAAAAAAGAAAAGGACAGGAAAAGAGAGAGCTTATTTTAACTATTATCATTTGTAAAAGGTTCCTTCAGTACCAATGACCAAAACATTCAACTGAAAGCACAGCATCCACTACATATTTGCATGTATTCCATGGAGGCAGAGAGACCGAAAAACCTTTAGACGTGGTCTCCATTCTTCGAAAGATTACAATAGATATTAACAAGAGTTTTTTTTATTTTTTTTAAATAAATTAACAAGAGTTTTTTGATATCAAATCTAATTCAAAACCAACAGGACAAAACCTTATTTTTGGGAAACAAAGAACCATAATTGTTATTGAGACTTGAGTGATCTACAAGCATTGTGCTTTGCTTGTCTGATTCTGGAAGCCCGCAAAAGCTCATACATTCTGCTTTAACCAAAATCCAAACCACTTGAATGTTTCTTTTTTAGCTTTGTCTTTGTTTACCATCCAAATTATTAGGTGACTGCCACGAAGAACTGAAATGGACGGAAGTGACCAATATGCACATAGGAAAAACAGGAGACAAAGAATTTAACATTGTTTGGCTTGCAATCCCTACTCCATATTTCACAACAAAGCCAAAGGAGTAAATCTATAGTTTTTGAAAGATAAATATATATAGTTATTTTTCATTGTCCAAGTTATCAGTAACCTGCAGTAATTTTCTTTTATCCAAGTCCCCGCTGAAATCGAAGTCATCAAATCCTACAATGTCTTTGCTGTGATCACTGTTGATCATAAACCAATCCAATATCCACAGTTCCACTAATACCTGAGGATCCATTTCAGAACTTGCCAGTGATCTTTGCCTAAATGAGCCATGTATTGGCTACCCACATGGATTGCATGTCATGACTGGTTAAGCACAAATCATATTGTATAACTCTGGACTGCACTTGAACGTGGTACAGACTTCACATAGCCTTTCCTCCTCCATCTCCGGCGCTAATGTAACTGAAATCTTAAACTGTGAATCCAATGGAGTAGTAAAAAATTTGGTTTTCTGAAACCAAAATATTCAAGCACCTCCAGTGTTTCCAAGAAAAGGATAATTTATCGACCTTGCAAATCCTATGACTTTTCATCTGAAGAAATTTTCTTAT